CGATTCTATTTTATTTAATAAAAGTAAAACTTACAGCTTCTTTAAAAATATTTGTATCTTCTAAATAGCCTCTTCTGCTAACGTCTCATGCCATACAAATAGAAACTTGAATTTTTTTCTTCTCCTTTGAAAGTTTTCTCACCTCTTAGTTACAATAATAATTGTATTGACATCATCTCGAATTTGCAGCATATTAGTTAGCTTTTAGTAAAGCCATTTTCTTAAATAGGTAGGTAAATCGTTTGACAAAAGGTCTAAAAGAAAGGGATTCTTTGAATGTAAATCGAAAATATAAAGTTTAAAACATAATTGATAGGTTATATTAGTTTAAAACAAACGATTTGGTTCTTAATTTTTGGATTTTTAAATAATTTAATGTTAATTATACTTATTTTCTTACCAGATAAACATTATCTATCGGCTACATGTGGGATGTTTTCTTCTTAACCTCACAGCTTAACCTCTTTCTTCTTATCTTCTTCGAGTCTGGTTCTGAATGGCCTTTTACTTTTTTATCTTGTCAACAGAGGCGTTAGGAGGGGAAAATTAATTGATTTATTTTAATTAAAACGTTGTAAATAATTAAATTATACAAGAAGAATTATAATAATTTATTATAAGTTAGTCATTTTTATAGTGTCAATCATGGACATTTATTGGACATCCATTGGACGTATGAATGGGTATATCCATTGTTAACAGAAAATGTATGTCCAATGGACATCCATATAAAGTTCATGGACATCCAGGACATTATTTGGACAAAATATGGACGTCCAATGGACGTCGTGTGCTGTCTGGGAGCTATAGATGAAAACAAATACTTGCATAAGATTTGAAAAAAGCCTGTCGTCGCTGGGATTCAAGCTCAGACACCTTTGTTCTGTACACAAATACTCTACCTCTAGACCATCACGACATTGATTCGATAATAATTTTTCAGAAAGTTAAAACATAGTTTTACTCTTTGTAACATTGCCTGAAGTATTTTATAAGGTCGAAAGCGCATCGCAATGTGGAGTGTTAATAAAAAATCTGATGTGTCCAACACATGACTTTCCTATCTAGTTATTATAGGCATTTTCCGGTTATTTTGTACAACCTATTGCAGCATCTCTATAAATGTTTAGAGGATAAACTAAATATATACATTTTACACATACATCTACCTCGAAACATTTTTCTATAGATATTCATTGAAAACGAAAATACAGAAAAATTTAAATTTAGCACTTTTCCATTAGGGACCATTTTAGAAAAATCATGTATAAACAAAAATTATAGAAATCGATATCGCAAACAACTTTTAGTTCAACAATTTTCATAAAAATCAGAATTTTGCACATTTTGTCAAATTTCTCGAATACGGACCATTTCAGGAAATTTTGACATAAAACAAAAATTATAGATAATAATATTAGAAGTAACTTTTATTTGAACAATTTTCTTCTCCAAACATAAATAACAGATATATTCCATAAAATATAAAAACGGCCTCCCATAAAGTACCCCCCCAGATGTTCCAACTTTGTCCAAAATCTAATCATTTCACGTCAGGCCGAAATAAACCTTAAGTTTAAAATTTAATGTTTTTTCCTTTATCCGTTTTTGAGTTTTCTTCAAATTTCGAAATTTACACATTTTCTCAAATATCTCGAATACGGTCCATTTTAGAGAAATTATGTATAGGACAAAAATTATAGAGAATTATATTATAAACAACTTTTATTTGAACAATTTTTATAAAAAATTATGTTTTTTACATTTTGTCAAATTTCTCGAATACGGACCATTTTAGGAAAATTTTGCATAAAACAAAAATTATAGATAATTATATTAGAAGTAACTTTTATTTGAAGAATTTTCTTCTCCAAACGTAAATAACAGATATATTCCATAAAATATAAAAATGACCACCTATAAAGTACCCCCCCAGATGTTCCGACACTGCCCAAAATCTAATCAGCTCATTGGACGCTGAAACAAAGCTTAAGTTTAAAATTTGGTGTTTTTCTGTGTATCGGTTCATGAGTTCTGCGTTATACACACACACACACACACACACACACACACACACACACACACACACACACACACACACACACACACACACACACACACACACACACACACACACACACACACACACACACACACACACACACACACACACACACACACACACACACACACACACACACACACACACACACACACACACACACACACACACACACACACACACACACACACACACACACACACACACACACACACACACACACACACACACACACACACACACACACACACACACACACACACACACACACACACACACACACACACACACACACACACACACACACACACACACACACACACACACACACACACACACACACACACACACACACACACACACACACACACACACACACACACACACACACACACACACACACACACACACACACACACACACACACACACACACACACACACACACACACACACACACACACACACACACACACACACACACACACACACACACACACACACACACACACACACACACACACACACACACACACACACACACACACACACACACACACACACACACACACACACACACACACACACACACACACACACACACACACACACACACACACACACACACACACACACACACACACACACACACACACACACACACACACACACACACACACACACACACACACACACACACACACACACACACACACACACACACACACACACACACACACACACACACACACACACACACACACACACACACACACACACACACACACACACACACACACACACACACACACACACACACACACACACACACACACACACACACACACACACACACACACACACACACACACACACACACACACACACACACACACACACACACACACACACACACACACACACACACACACACACACACACACACACACACACACACACACACACACACACACACACACACACACACACACACACACACACACACACACACACACACACACACACACACACACACACACACACACACACACACACACACACACACACACACACACACACACACACACACACACACACACACACACACACACACACACACACACACACACACACACACACACACACACACACACACACACACACACACACACACACACACACACACACACACACACACACACACACACACACACACACACACACACACACACACACACACACACACACACACACACACACACACACACACACACACACACACACACACACACACACACACACACACACACACACACACACACACACACACACACACACACACACACACACACACACACACACACACACACACACACACACACACACACACACACACACACACACACACACACACACACACACACACACACACACACACACACACACACACACACACACACACACACACACACACACACACACACACACACACACACACACACACACACACACACACACACACACACACACACACACACACACACACACACACACACACACACACACACACACACACACACACACACACACACACACACACACACACACACACACACACACACACACACACACACACACACACACACACACACACACAGACATCATCGCGAAAATAGTCAAAACGGATTCAGGGGACCTCAAAACGTAAAAATCCGTCGAAAACTCGAGGTCGAAAAAAATCATGATTCCTATACTTTCCTTATATCTGTATACAGATAGGAAAGTAATTATATCTGTATACAGATAGGAAAGTAAAAAGTGGTTGACAAACATAGACCTTTTCATCATGTGATGAGCGCAAGCGCAGCCGCCATGTTGAAATAGCGCCAATTCAAAAGTTTCGTACTGTTTTGATCAACAATGGCTGGAAAAGCAATATTATCTCTACATACAAATCAATCATTAGAAAAAATCGTTGATGGTGATTTACATTTCTATAACTCCGTGGAAGCACATAGTTGTGAGCAATTAAAAAGGTTCTTGAAGTGACGTGGACGTTCGGAACAAGAAAAAAGGTTAGGTTTCAATACATATTAACTTTTTAAAAAATTAATGAAAACAAATAATTATAACTCTATTCTAATTATCCCAACCAACTATTAATAATTGCAAAACCACTTTAACATGAAAATTAATCACGAGTATAATTAAAAAGATAAATTATTTAAAATTTTAAGGATTAACATGACATTTTTAATAATATTACTGTGTATTCCGAAGTAGTATTTATTATTAAAAAATATTGTGTAATACCAGACAAGGATTTTCTTCTGTTGAAACACTTTCGCCATGAAAATGTATTGAACAAATAAAAGTATCTTTAGTAACATCATCCATCAATCGATCGAAAACCTTTGTCACTTCGACCACATTTTTTTCACTCATAATGCTCATTTTGAACATGGTTTAATATGTATTTTGCCAAATAATTTGATAGTTTTTTACGATATTGCAGGCAAGTTTTTTATAAAATTATAATTTATACCGTGTGTCGCTTTTACATACTGATAACAATATCGTTTGGTTTTTCCTTTCCGTAAAGATAACATAGTTAATTGATTGCAAAAATTGATTTTTCAATTAAGACACTTATTACTTTACTTTTTTATCTCATTTTTTAAACGAATACACTTAAAATTAATATTTATCGATTATAATTTTTTTCACGTTGACATTTTAACATGCTTGTTTACAAAAAACACTACTAAAAAGATGGCTGAAACTGACGCATGCGCACAAAAAAATGTGATGAAAAGGCCTATTGAGATTTCCTCTTTTTTGTTTACATTGTACCCATTCGAAAAATAATGAACAGATAATATTTAGAATTTACATTAAATTGACTATTTTTACATCATTTTTTTATTTCTATTTTCTAGCAACGACATTTGCCGAAAATTGGGCTCCTGCATACAGACCAATGGAAGACATACCTTATAATTTCTTCCAAGTTTTCGCAATATTTTTTCCTTCAGTGACGGGCATTCAAGCTGGTGCGAATATTTCAGGGGATTTAAAAGTAAGTACTAGACATACAAGCTACAGAAGATAATATTCCACCCCCATAGTGAGTATAAACAATATTTTCCAGTTTTCAATTAAGTTTACGCCAAGGAACGACAAATGCATGGGTTCAAGGGGTCTGTTATACTCAAAGAACGGTATTTTGTGGTGCATAGTACCCAAGGCCGAATCCAGAACCCAAGGGGGGCAGAGGCAGTATTCTGGGTTTGTAGCGTGGGCTGATTTTTTTTCAATGGATGTTAATCGTTAACGGCATCAACTAGTAGGGTCATTAGGATTAAGGAAGGGATGCACTTGCCTCCATTCCCTCTCGAATCTGCTGGTGATGCTACCCTGTGACTAGAGATAGATGCCATATATAAAATTAAAAAATAAACAGTAACAGCTGATTGTAAGAACGTCTCAGGCATGTACGTGTACATTTGGTCACATTCTAGAGAAAATGATAATCTTTTTTCATTGATAAACTTTGCCAGAGCTTGAGAATGTGATCTATCTAAATTGAACATGAACTTCAAATTACTTACCAGTCTAAATATCTGTCAAAGTTTACCAAACTCGTAAATTTTAATGGATTAATAATAACTTAGAAGTTAACGTGAACATAGTCAAATTTAGCGAAGTTAGGGGTCTATTCTGTAACAATTCCTTTATATTTAACGGCATTTAAAAATATTTTCTTCTTTACTTCTGTCATTATTTAAACGGATCTTTAAAATACATTAGAGGACTATCTTGAAGAAATCTGTTTAAATAATGACAGAAGTAAATTAACGAATACGAACATATTTATAAGGCCGCCAATATTTTTAAAGGCCGTTAATTATAAAGGAATTGTTACAGAATAGACCCCTTAGTGTCTTACGACTATTAGGTGAAATAAATGGCACAAATTATGCAGTTACTGCATGTTATAGACCACCGTCTATAAACGCCAAACAATTTATTAACGATTTAGAGAATTATTTTTTAAATTTACAAAAGTCTGAGATAGAAATATTTGCTGGAGATACTAACTTTGATATATTAGTTGCCGGGAAGAATAACTTAGTCGATTCTTACTTAAATGTATTAAATCAACAAGGTCTTTTTCATTATATAGATGTAGTAACGAGGCAAGAAACAAATACCTGCATAGATCATTTTTTTGTAGGTTTAGATAATAAAATAAAAAGTAAAACTAATATTAAGCCATATTTATTTGAGACAAATATAACGGATCATTATACCACATTTATTTCGATTAGTAATGAAAAAAATAATAAATTAAATGAAAATAATATTCGGCAGTTCAACAAAATTAATTATGAAACATTATACAGAGATCTGGAGTCTGAAAAATGGACTAACGTTTTTAACAGTAATGATACTGAACAAAGCTATAATGAATTTATTAAACTACTTCAAGAACATATTACTAAAAATATTAAACAAATGAATAGAAACAATAATAAAAATTATAAGATCAAACCGTGGATTACCTTGGGCATAATTAAATCTATAAGACGTAGAGATTACCTAAAAAAACAATATCTTAGGAATAAAAATAGTAATGAACTTCTGCAAGAATACAAAAGGTACCGAAATTTTTTAACCAAATTAATTAAAGAAGTAAAAAATAATTACTACCAATCTGAAATTACAAAAGCAAAAAATAATTATAAAAAAATTTGGGACACAGTAAAAAAGGCATCTAACACAGAAAAAAATAACAAAAAAGAAAGTTACAATATCATAAATGAAAAGGGAGAAAAAGTTAAATGTAATAAAACTAAACCAAATGTATTTAATTATTTTTTTGCAGAAATAGGTAATAAAATGATAAAAAAAATGATAGTCCTAATATAACTGCTTCTACTAAAACTATAACCCATAATTCTAGTGGCAATTCTCTGTTTATATACCCCATTAAAAACAACGAATTAATAAAGCATATATCACTATTAAAAAATAAATCGGCAAGTGGCCTGGATGGATTACCGGTAACTACAATTAAAAATATACACCCTTACATCTTAAACCCGTTAGCACACATTTTCAACCAAATATTAACCACTGGCAAAATATCAATATCATTTAAAGAATCTGTAATAACACCCGTCTATAAATCAGGAAAAAAAGAACTAGCCACTAACTACAGGCCTATATCAGTCATAAATAATATTTCAAAACTTTTTGAGCAATGTTTAAAAAAAAAGGTTAGTTGAATTTATTGAACAAAACAAAATATTAAGTACAAGTCAATATGGTTTTAGGAAAAATCTTTGCTATCAAGATGCGCTTCTAGACTTTGTGCAAAATATTATTAATGGTATTGACAACAATAAAAAATGCCTAGCGATATTCTTAGACTTAGCCAAGGCATTTGACACTGTTGATCACAGATTGTTGTTGGAAAGATTAGAAATAATAGGTATAAGAGGATTAACGTTGGATCTTTTCAGGGACTATCTATCACAGCGAACCCAGTTCGTTAGAATTGGTAGCCTACTTAGTGACCGAATGACCGTTTGTAGGGGCGTGCCTCAGGGAACGGTACTTGGCCCAATTCTTTTTTTAATATACATTAACTGTATTTATAATATTAAAAATATAGGAAAAATTATTTCTTATGCATATGATACTGTCATTATCTATAAGGGGGAGAGCTGGAAAGAAGTATTTCTAAAAGCTGAGGATGGTTTGAGTAAGATAAAGTCTTCTGAGTCTCAATGTCTCCAAAACAAAATTTATTACATTTTCACTAACAAATGCTGATCAACCAAATCAACAGATTTTAAAGCTTCACAATCATAACTGCAATAAAGGACCGATTTGTCAGTGTGTAACGGTACAAAACGAAAATAAAATAAAATAAAATATTTGGGGTTAATGGTTGATCAACATCTGAGATGGAACGAACATGTCATTTTTTTAAACAAGAGATTAAGAAAACTTATATATTTATTTTATCAAATTCGAGATATTCTTAAAAAAGAACTCCTACTACTTATTTATAATGCCTTGGCTGAGTCGCTGCTAAGATATGGCATTCTAATATGGGGTGGGCTTCTAGACAACGCTCTCGATGGGCTGGACTCGACACAGAATACGTTGTTAAAAATATTGTTCAGGAAGGACCTTAGATATCCAACAAACCTATTATATAAAGAATTAGACATTTTCAATATTAAACAACTATATATTTACCAAACATCTTTATGGGCAATTTCTAATACTGAAAAACTTCCTAAGCTTTCACACACTGCTTCCATAAGAGCTCTACTAAATAAGCATATGCGAATTCCTCTTTTTAAAAAAATGCACACCCAAAACTTTATCTCGTATTTTGGCCCCAAAATATATAACCTAATTCCTACATTCATAAAAAATATTACAAATGAACGATCTTTAAAAAATGAACTTAAAATATTTGTACAGAAAAACTACAGTAAAATTAAGAAGGAAATATTTAATATTTTATATTAATTTCATGCTACATTATTACATATTCTTCAGTATCAGAGAGTAGCCTTTCTTTTCTTTTTCTTTATTAGTCTTGTATTTTATATTTTTATAATTTTTATTATTTTTGCTATTTTTATAATTTCTGCTAATTTTTATTTTCATAATTGTTTTGATTTTTGTATTTCCATATTTCTCCATCTTTTTCTTTTTTTTTTTTTTTTTGTTGTATTTTAAAATTCTAAATTCTTTGTTTTTGTTTCTATAGTATATACTTAGATATAATTTAAACAGCATGTATAAAACGTAAAAAAAAACTAATATAAAGATTCCGCACACGAACTTTGTTTAGGCGGGTCTTAAAAAATTGTTAAAAAAATTTAATTATTTTAATGAATAAATTTGATTTGATTTGATATTCTTACTGAAACGACGGTTCCAGCCATACGTTGTATAAAGTGACCATCTTTTGAAACTTAGAACAAATCGATAACATGGTGAAGGAGCGGGGGGGAGGGGTAGAAAATAAAAATTGACCATTCATCAACATTAAAACATACTTACAAAGAAACAAGAAAGCGTAACTATTATTTATTAAATAATAAAACTAATCCCTAATAAATTAGTGTGTTGTATTTTAAATTTGTTACAAAAAATATTTCTCTTTTTGATGTGCTGGATACAAAATTATATTGTTTTTGTCACATCACCATAAAAAATTGTATTTTTTGGTGACTTAAATGAAATATTTATTGATTATTTTTTAAATGGGACAAAATCGGGACTAGTGGTTTAAAACTGGGACTGTCCCACCTAAATCAAGACGGTCACTTTAACGTTGTAGGTGATGGAATATTTTAACACGTGCGCAGTAGGTAATGTATAAATCTATTCATGTATTACATGATTTTAGACAAGCCCAGGCTTGTTTATTTCCTTCCTGGTACAAAACCATAGTTGTGGGAGTTTAACTCGCACGTGACTATTTTTTTAATTATTGTTAATATTACTATTACAATATCCTTTGAATCTTGCACCCTAGTGTAAAATCAAAACCCGCGCCCCTGATCTATCCAAACCATGTTTATTTAGTACAATTTTTAATGTAATTTCGCCAGCTTAAAAAAGGAGCGTATGTTTATTATGTACGCTAAATCAAAATAAGTATATTTAAAGTAAATATTTTAATCAAACAATTACGTTAAGTAGTATATCTGTATTAAATAATTTACTACAGAGCATCTTCTGAACAAACAAGAAGACATTTTAGGGTGAGGCTGATACGTCAAATCCCTAACTTAATAATTAAATTGTTCAGAAAAAAGTTATTCCTTATAAAAAGTTCTGCATAGTCTGAAAACTAGAATGATGCCGTCATATATCAAATTTTTACAGCAGTATACGAGGTATGTCAAATAATATGAATATTAGGAGAAAATGAATTGTATTTAAAGTGTGTATAGTCAAGCGCTTTGGTCGATTAAGGCATCATCGGGACTCTAAAAAGATTATAGCCAATGAGAATACAATTTAGTTACACTTACTCGTCGG